AATACCTGGGTCTTAAGAAATCTTCTCTGATATCTCAAATAGATTGATAAGGTTCTTCAACAGTCAAGGAAAAATTGTTTATGAATATAGAAATATTATTTTGCTAGCCTTGCTTCCTCTATATCCTAACCTTTTTTCCTGATAATAAACTTGGAGCTATTCATTTTATGGAAAGGGTGGACAAATTATTACTTGTATCTCTTATAAAAGTATAATTATGACAGCTTGTATAAATCTACCGCCCTAATATTGATAGATTCTTGGTAAGTCAAGTAATTTGGAGCCTCAAATTGATATAGATATTTTGGATGTTCTCTTTTATATCTTTTGAATTCATAATCAATCCAAACATTGAATTTGTAGTGTCTCTTTTCAAGGAAAAGAATTTATTTCTAAGAAATTCTAGTAATTTATTAGTTATATAATGATTGATAGTGTATCAGAGTTCTGAATGGGAAGGAGGATGTTGCAGATATTTAATAAGATATAAGTGTGTAAATTAAGTAAATTGGTAATTATAACATCACAACTATAATCATAATTTTATAGATATTGAATTAGTTATTTTATCCTAAAATAAGTAATTTTTATTTTAATTGTTTTAAAATAATTTATTCTTCTTTGAAATTAATATTTATTGAACTCAAAATCATATCAATGATTCTAAAATTTAACAGTCATTTTCTAAGTGATATTTTGAATTTTAGAAACATTGATCTTTATTCAACTATTTTATATTCTTAATATTTTTTCATGAATAAATACAATGAACTAATAATTTCATTTATCAAGCTTCTGAACAAAATCTTCAGTAGTAATAATTTAACTCAAAATTAAAATTAAATTATTTGACTTATTTGCAAAATTTTTTTAACATATATTTCAGATTATAATCATATTTAAAAAATTAAAATTTCCATTATTCAGTTTTTCCAAGTAAATGAATACCTATAGGAAATCTAAAAAAAGGAGATATATAATTTTGTATCATCTTAAGGATAGATACTTACTCTATAAAAGAAACATACAAAGATTATATTGCTTAATCATTTCTAAAATTTCATCATAATCTACAGGAACCTAGTAAATTATACATCATGACTTCATTTCAATGCTCTTTTCATTCCAAAAACTTGGAGTTATTATTGAAGTTATTCAAGTTTAGTTTCCTTAACTTCATGTCTTCTTAAATCTTCTTGTTAATTATATTCTATTTTTAATGGCATATAATTTATTCGATTAGAGTTTTGATATAATGCTATATATGTTCTATATCCTTTAAAATTAGAACTTAACTATAATTAACTTTAAAATAGTTAGATCTAAATTCAATATTCTTAACAAACTTAGTTAATTTATAGAAATATGTATTATTTCTATTATTCCAAATTTTCATTGAAATCCTTATTTAAAATCATTTGATGAATAAATCATTTTATTAATTACATTCTAAAATTCTTTAAACTCAATTAATTAAATTGTTATAAATTTTTAACCGAGTGATCGACCACAGAGGCAAAAGAGTTCAACTTAATAAATAATTACACTAGGTAAAAAGAGGATAATTTGAGCTAAAGAATTACCAAGTAGCTTTTTTAGTAAGACTTTTTCATACATTGATGCATATATGAAAGATAAAAGGGATTAAATCAAACTTTGGTTGATGAATTTGAAGAGAATTTTTGATGGTAATTAATATGAAATTCAATTAAATCCTTTAATTGCATACTTTCTGAATTGTAGTATTAACAACATTAAAGTGGTTGATTGAAGATATATTCTTTTTGACTAGGGATGTTCTTAATAGTAAATTTCTAGAACTTTGGTCTTATTAGGAATAGTTTATTTAGAATAAATAGAACTTTTGAGGGAGAAGATATGTCGCCTTGGTTGTGTTGTTGCTTCCATAAGTGTCTAATAGAAAGTAGAGATTGAAATTGGAATTATTGATGAGGAGTTCTTTGGTAAGATTTATATTAGGTGGCATGTTTTTCACCCTTCTCTTTCATTTTTTATAAAGCCTAAATGTTGTTATTACTTACTCATGAAATATCATAGTGGCCATAGTGGCCATGGATGTTAAAATTTAGAGTCGAGCCAATAAATGTTTAGTTTGTATAGGATAGTAAATTAACCATTTTTACAGTCTATAATAATTAGCTAATTATGGGTTTCATAAAGAACATCCTTGATAAAAGATAAAATATAACTTTGAAGGCAAGTTTTATGTATGTGGTAATTTTTACATTGTTTGAAGGAGATAATTTTTTGAGAAGATTTTATAGATAGGATTCTTAAGTAATGAACCTGAAGTTCAACTAAATGATGACATTACCCATCTAATTCAAAATTGCATGACCTTCTAAAACATTCTAGAAAAATAATAAAAATAAAACCCTTTATAATAATATCAAAATGATGATTCTAATTGTTAACATCATAGAATAAAATGAATTTAAATATTATCGATCTATTATAAGCATTTGCTTTAACTTTTCCCTATTTGAAAATAATACAATATATCAAGTATTGATCACTCTAAATCAAAAGGAATAGGTTAAGTATTTAATTCTTATTTCTCCTGAAATTTATTTTTATAATCCAATAATCTTTCACATAAATACATAACAATAAATCAGTGATTGTGATATATGTAGTAAGATTTTATAAATTACCTTAAATTAATATTTTGTAAGATCTTGATTAAATAAGCTAATAATCTAATTAAAATATTGTTAATTAGTATTATCATAATTTAATTGAAGTTCACTTTATTTCACTAAATAATGAATTATTATTTGTATAATGCTTCTTGGTATCTTTAAAACTTAAGCAACACAAATATATTCAATAGCATAGAATTTAATTTAAACGTTTAAAAATAAATAGCTGAACTTTTCGAAAGATTTCAGATAACATATTATAGTTTTATAATAACTAAAAACATTCTAAGTTACTATAATTAACATATATTATCATAGCTTACATTAAACTTTGATTATATTCAAATTTTAGTATCTTTTATTTTAATATTAATGAAGTGAATTCAAGAGTATAATGTTTTATTAACTTAATTAATTAATTAATACTAAATGATTTAATCAAAAATGATAGAAAAAGAGGAAGATCTTTGTTGTTCTTTGAAACATAAGCTTCCAGTCTTAATGATTGCTAGTGATAAAGAGCTCAAGAAGAATTAAAGACTTTTATGCTCTAATTGTATGGAAAATTTAGAATCAAAAACCCCATTAATGAGCTTTAAAAAAGCAATGGAAAAAATTGAAGAAAATCAAAAGTAAAAGAAAGAATCCATTGAGAATGTGTTAATGATTAACATCAAATAACATGAATAACTTTAAAAAGCTCTTCATTAATTAAAATCTAATGTTCTTCAATAATTGGATTATTTAATTGGAAATGCAAATGAATGGATCAAAGAAATATAGATATGGGGACAATCAAATGTTAGTTACAGTTTCTTTGATGAATTAGATATACTAATTAATCAAACAAATCTTGATTATTCCAATTAGAAATCTATAATTGATAAAATAAATTAGATTAATTAATCGTGGAATCAAAAAATCTTTAAAAAATTGAGTTTATTTAAATCATTTTAAGAAACTTAGAAATGTGAAGAACTATTAATAAGTTTACAAAATGTCAATTAAATAAAAGACAAGGAAATATTGATTGAAGGTAATTAAGAAAATAATAGTAAGATACAAAAGGAAGTGATCTAAGTAGATATGTAATAGAAATAATAAGAATAATAATTAATAATCGATTAACAAGTTGAACTTAAATTAATTGATGATTCTAATTAATAGAGTGGTTATTGTTATGCATTAGTTTTTGATACAACTGGATAAATCATGATTTCATGTGAGTATGAAGAGATTAAAATTTGGAATTTTGAATAAGGAAGATTAAAATTAATTAATACATATTAAGAACATAAAAATACTGTTACATGTTTGGTATATAGCAAAGTGAGAAATAACTTTATTTCTGGTTCTAGTGATAATACTATCATCTGTTGGCAATAAATTAATCAAAAAGACTGGAAGTGTTCATAGCCATTCAAATAACATAATGGAACAGTTTATTGTTTGATGTTAAATAAAAAGGAGGATCAACTTATTTCAGGAGGTTGTGATCATTCAATAAAAGTTTGGAATGTAGATTTTATTAAGAAT